GACAAGCCAATCGCGACCTGGTTGAGTGCACCTTCATTCGTTCCTGGTGTCACATTGTGGTCCATAAGGCCAAATTCCCTCAGTTCTATCCGTCCACATGCTATTCTCTGATTAGTGGGTCCTGTTCGCTACTTCCTCCTCGCGCAACTGCCCAGCGAACGTCAACTTTGCCGACTAAAAGTTTGCCTATTATCTTGCGCATTACTACTGTAACACGTCTTTACACGAGATTTCAGCTCCTCGTTTAACTTCGAATTAGTTAACGAAACGAATCTTTCCCAGTTCGTCACCGATTTGCAGTGCAACAGCAGCGGCAGTCACCTGATCGCGCGGTGACAGCATTCAAACCTCCAGGCATCGCATTTCCATTCAATGCTCGCCACGCCGCATTCTCTTCTGCACTTTGCCCGATGGGATGTATGCGTTCATTCATCGATGTCCCTCCCTCTCTTCACCCCCGTATGAGATGACCGATTCCTATTCAGAACTGGGATGGCACGCCATGTCGATTCTGTGTGGAATTGTCCAGAGTGGCGCTCCTCCCGGTGCACTCTCTTCCCCTGTTTTTCTTTGTCTTTCACTCTGCTGTCTTGTCTTAATCTTTACCTTTTCTCACTGTTATCCTTTTTCCTTTTTCGCCTTTTTCATTTTTTTCATCCATGATACTTACTTTTGGAAACGGATTCATTCATTCATTCATTCATTCAATATATGCTTCAAATATATATATATATATATATATATATATATAAAACAATTATAACTAATATATGTTAATTATATTAATTCATTATAACTAATTAATTCATTTTTACATATCTTTCAAAATGTGTTAAGGTGTTGAATGATGTATAAATAAAACATTTAGAAATATATATATATATATATATATATATATATATATATATAAATGACCATTTTCTTTGTAAACTTAATATTTGTATGTTTTGGAAACCTCTTTAAGATTAGATTTTTTTAATGATTTTAAAATGATGTCAGATGACTTTATTTAACATCTTTATGCACTGTACATATAGAGTTGCAAAAATATTTTAAATTGGAGCTCAAATTGATACACAAAATGATATGAAGTTCTACTCACATTTGTTTTAGAAAAAATAGAAGCTTTAACTACAGAAATATGTATGTACAAGGGGGCGTCTTTGTGTGTAACATACTTTCTTCAAATATATGTATCTATATCTATATATATATATATTGTAATTTTCCTGAACTCACTATTATTATCAATAAATAAATAAAAACTTGTACCTTAGAAATAGTATTTCAATAATTGATCCAAATTTTATTTGATTTTTGTTGTTGGCTTAAGTTCTTATTATGGAATGACATATTTGATTTCAGTATTTCTTTTCTCTCCATTTTGCAGAATCAATGTAAGTTGTTAATTTTTAAAAAATACAATTGTATTGAAATATGTATAGGTCAAATTTTGATGAAAATGTTTCTGTTGGTATGTTTATTTTGTATTTTTATCTTTTGTTTTAAATTGTTTATAAAGGTACTCAAATAGATTGAATGATATTGTATAACCAAAAGTATGTGAGAGATTTAGTTGTCAATGCCAACCGCACATGAAATCTTATTGATTCTGGTAAAAAATTTTGTTCTAAAAATACATTGTTACAGGTATTTGGACATAAATTCTATGATATTAAATTATATATTCTATTCTGAAATGAATGTTTAAAATTGTGGACACCAGTTTTAAATATTAATTTTATAATATCAATGGCTATGAGTATTAAAAAAATATATAGAAAAACATTGTATATATATATATATATATATATATATATTGTAAAATCAACTACCTTCTTTTATATGAATTAATTATTTTATTATAAAAACATTTATTCAAATATTGTTCTTGATACAGACATTAAATAACCTTGATAATTGAGTTTAAAGTATTTTATAAAAAATATTTGAGTTTAAGTCATGCGTAGAATTTCAACATTTCACTAGTAAAAGATGTCTTTAATAAATTTATATATAAATTTGAAAGTATTTATTTCAAATATATATATATATATATATATATATATAGAGAGAGAGAGAGAGAGAGAGAGATTTATTGTTTTTGTGTCTAAACTAGGATTATAATATGAAAGTTAGTTAAACTTGAAGATAAAAAAATAGCTCAAACTTTGGATGATTAATAATATCTCCATTTGAATCTTAAATAAATGCATAACTTGAACATAATTCTGATTTAGATGTGTCTTTCTATTCTAATTCATGTACTTTGAATATCATAAATCAAACACCTTAAATTTTATATTTTGATAATCTGATATTGAACTTAAATTATCATTTTCATTCTGTGAATATATATGAAGAAAACAAATCCTTAAATAACATAATCTACTTTAATAATTCTTAATTATTACATGAAATAAATTTTTTAATTTTTTTAATTTTAATTTATCAAATATATGAATGAAAAGTGGTAAAATAGCTATAATAATCAAATTAGTTTATGTGAGCCACCAATTTATAATATATAATTTATAAAACAATTTAAGAAATCGTAATTATTTAAGAAGAATTGAACCAATTTATTTATTTTTGGGTCCAAAGAGAAAGTTGTAAAAAAATCACTTTTAGAGACTTTAAAATCCAAATTTTATTTATTTTAAAAAGTTGTCCAATATATTTAAAAAGAGACTTACTCCATTTAACATAAAATAAGAATTTTTGTTTATTTTTCAAATAAAAAAATTCTTTATATCTAGTTTTGTGACATTAATTTAGTTGTTTATAAAATAAATAAAGCAACTAATGTTTTTGCAATTATAAATTCAAAACTTGCAATGTAATAGTCATTTATTTTGTATGCTGATATAGCATTTGTAATAAAAAATTATTATCTAATACAAAAAATTATATGAAAAAGTTTTTTCTGAAATAGATAAATATTTTTAATTTTTTAAAAACATCTTTTAAAAAAATCCTAATTAATATAAAAATAATATAAAATTTTAATAGTTTTTATATAATTTTTTAAAATATAGATGACTTCTATATCATATATTATGTAAAAGTAAATTTTCTTTTATTTTTATTATCTTTTTGAAAATAAATATTGCTATATATTTTTAAAAAATACACCTAAAAATAATATAATTACATTTAACTATGCACATGTTTATGTTACTAGTATACAAAATTGTGCTTACATTAGTTACATGATCTGAAAATATAAGTATAACTTAAAATATTATTTTATAAAATGTTTAAAAGTGTTTTTTCAAAGTATTTATCTAAGTGTTTATCAAAACTCATAGCAGAATTAAAATCTTTAAGACCAATTAACAAAATATTTTGATATTTTGACAAAGTTTGATAAATTTTTGTGTAGTCATTTGAATGGCATTTTTGAATAAATCTGTAAATACAATGAGAAGCATCTACATATATATCTTTTTCACATTGATATTTTGAATGATGACTTTAGTGTGTCTGATGTTATAAAATTTATTGAATAAAATAAAAAATAATAAAATAATAAAATTGACATCTATGTCTTTTGTATTATTATTTATATTTTATTTTTACTTTTTGGATTTATTTTTACTTATTTTTAATTTTTTAAATGTTATTTCAAAAAAATCGATTTAGATTTCATTAATAAATATATATTAAATTTTAAATTTAATTATATATATATATATATTTATAATATTCAATATACTCAATGCATTTTTTATGTTTTTTATATTTTGAGATTGTTTAAATAATATTTAGTTTAAAATGCTTCATACATGTTGTACTGTAAAAGATCAAGGGCATGATTTTATTTTTAAAAGTTGAATCTCAAAGAATCTCACATTACTATGATTTTTTTTTCTACTTTCAATTTTTTAAATATATTGTATATTGTAAAAATCAAACTATGACTTGGTTCTTTGAATACTGATTTATTTCGTATTGTAAGATAATTGAATAGTGATAATATATTGATTTTAATTCACAATGAAAAACATCTGAGATTAAAATTCACTTATTGAATCAGCAACCATAAATATCAAAATACGGAAATCTTTTTTTAAAAACAATTATTAAACAACTGAATGTTTAGTAACAATGCTAGTCATACAATAAAGTCAGAAAATTTTATTAAATTTAAAAATTAAATCTTTTTTTAGTCAGTTGGAGTTAAAAATAATATTTAACAAATAATTAAGTGGATTTCAAAATACTATTTCTTTAAGTACTTTTTAAATGATTGTAAAGTGGTGACTACTACTTGCAAGACGACAGAATATTATCTAAAGATAAAAAAATATTATACTCTTAAAGTAACTAAACAGCATAATTTGCAGCTTAAGAAGAAAAAACATTGCGTTTAATGTGTTTCATCTTTTTATTCTAAATTTATTATTATATTATTTGTTATTTGAAATTGCTACCATTCTCACACATGACATCTGTTGCCCAGTGTGAACAGAGCTACAACTTCAACTTGTGAGTGACGTGTCTCCTAATTTCACGGAGATAAAAAAGTTAACAATGGTAAGAAATGATTCGCAGGCTAAATTCTCCACTGGTAAAAAGGCTTCCGTGGTAAAAAGGGATATGCGGGAAAAATGATGCATAAAAGTTACTTAGCGAACACCAGAAAAGCAAACGGGGAAGTAAAAAGGTAACTTGAAGACACAGTGTTTCTAATTACCGGGATGGGTCTACAGAAGGAAAACCAGGTCTAAAAGCGGGAATGGGTAGGCAAGGAATGGGGACGTGCGGGGGGAAGGCCCATTTGGAAAGGGGGGGGGGTGTGGGATGCCGCTCCAAGAGCGCCCCCGCCCATAACGTCGCCGCTGATGGAAACCTCCGGCGACGTGACCGGCTACGACCGACGGTGAAAAGTGGCCCGGCCCGACCCGGTGGAGCATTGGGTACGGTCGGGATGCCGTATGCAGAATAGAGTATAAATATATGGGCGAACTGAACCCTGAGAAGTAGAAAGAAATCGTAGACGACTGCCTTGTTCATCTTTACTTGCCTCCGCCACTTTCTTGCTCATGTGTCCTGCACAACAGGACGGAGACCGAATCGCAGGCGGAGCTTTCCCGTCCTCGCTGCACCTTGCCGGCCGTGCTCTGCCCTGCTCTCTGACATCCCCGACGTCTTTGGGCCTTGACGATTGACACCGGCATCTTTCTTCATCGCAGCTTATCTTGCTGGTGCTGGTGGTGCTGGTGCGGCTTGGGTCCTCTTACCTGCGCCTTGTCCATTGACACCGGCATCTTTCTCATCGCAGCTTCTCTCGGTTTTGGTCCGCCTGGCCTCCAGGCGAGTTGTGGCTACTTTATCGCAGTACGTCGGCTCGTGGTCCTTGGGTCGAGTCGGTATCGCCGTGCGGTTGAGGTGAGAAGGTCTGATGCTGATTTCCAGCATGTGGTGATGATGGTGACCTCCGCATGGTCCTTGGGCACCCGAGTCCCGGGCTGATGCCGGTTGTCAGGAAGGCGAGCTTCCGCAGCACATGCACCAGGTGCTGGCTGACAGGCAGCTAGCCTGGGGCGTGTTTTATACTTTCTTAGGCGTTATCATGCGCGAAGAAGGTGGGGGAAAGAACCTTCGGCTGGAACCGAGGATGATTTCTGACATTTTTTGGAAATATTTATGACTGTTTCAGTGGCTGCGACCCTCGGACAATCCGTCTGAAGAGTTCCTTTCTGGGTGTGGATTTTTCTGAAGCCGTTGTTTCTTTGAAGGGGAATTCTATACACTGCAATTTTAAGCCTCATGAGTTGCAATTTGGTTTTTGAAGGTAAGTATGCATTTTCAGAGTTAGTCAAGGTAATTCTTTACCTGCAAGATGAACACATGAATTCAGAGGTTGTTTGGTTTCCTTGTAACTTTAACCCGACACGTTCCCTTCAGATTTTGTGCTGTTTGTGTCCTAATTCGAGAAAGGAGGATCGCGAGTTGAAAATACGTTGATTCGACACATGTTTCAACTGCCATCTCCGCAGGCGTGGTGCAACGATCCGATTCCTTACGGAACTCTTGTTCAATACTTTCTGATCCAGACAGTCTAAACAACAATAGTAACAAAAAGAGTCGAGCTAGCTTTGCTGTCTTGCCCATATATCTGAGCATCGAAGACATTTTTGCTTTCATCTTTTCTTAAATCTCTTACTTTGACTATTCCTACACCCCTAAACGCATGCACTGTTGAAGCAGCCTAATCATCGTGCATGCATGGTGTTGCAGGTATTTCGTGTTAAATCAGAGCGTTATCAGTGTTTTCAAGTTACTCCATCCTTTTTAAATGATCAGCTCATGGTGTATGGCTGGTTTTGCACAATTTTCTCACTCATGCTGGGATCAGAAGAGAGAGAGTACAGCCCAACGGCCGATGTTCAGTTGGAACGGGCTGTGCTCTCTCTCTTCTTGTTCCAACCTGGGTGCATTTCCGTTCTAGACCAGAGAAGACCACAGCAACACAATAACTGACCAACGTGGCAAGGAAGCTCGGCACCGCACACCGGCATTTTGGCTCACGACACCAACTCACCTTTTTCTACATTCAAGCTGGGGTTCGAAGAGAGAGAGCACAGTCCCAGACTTTTCACTCACGACCACTTTGAGTGTCTTATGGTGAACAGTAGTCGGGCTGTACTCTCTCTTTTCCAGTCCCTACTCGAATGTGTTTCTATCGCTGACGACGAGAATATGCGTAACGCGGCATGCGCTTTTAGAATCTACAGCTTGTTAACCAAACAACGAAACATCTCTCAAATGTACGGAAAACCTCATGGAGACTGCTTATGCCTCACTGATGGAGCAGCATTTTGTATGCTAGATTTTTTTACTGTTTCTGCTTCGTCGAGAGACCGTATCCTCTGGTATCAGATGGCGAAGGATGATCAGCTAGAAATTCCACAGTGTGCGGTCTGCGTCCAGCACTTAGCTACGACCATAACGATCGTCAACTAGTCTCGACCTTGTTGCCATTTCAGTTAGATAGTGGTGATCTGAGAAAATTTTCATGCATCATACTCTTAAGCATTTGGATTCTTTTAAATTTTGCTTCGGTAGTCATATTCTAATTTAAATGTTCTTTGAGAATGTAGTTACCATGTGTCATGCTGTTCTGAGGGCTTTGTTACTGAATGTAGAGGTTTGTGAAATCACAGGATTAGTAACAATTGATTAAGTTCGGTGCCAGGATCAGGATTCTTCTCCTTTTAGTAGAGCTGGTCTCTAGCTAGATTCTTCGATAGTTCAACAAGAATTTCTTAGACGGCGACTGAAGAGCAATCTTCGTGTAGAGGCAACTGCTTTGTTGAACATGGAACCAGTTCTGAGCATTCGCATGTAGTTCGTCCAGATTAGTGATCCAAGTTGAAGTCAGTATCCATTTAGAAGCGCCGTTCTGATTTCGGAGGAGTCGGACTTATGCAACTACTCTACTTTCTTGCTTTTTTCTTTTCTTCTTTGTTGTTTTTTCGAGAGCAGTATTCATACACATCAGAATGCACGAGTGAAGCGAATCATAATGTTACGTCTGCATCATTGATGCTTTAAACTCAAGGACAGCCAGTTGCTTGGCTACTGTAAGTATCAACCTTGATTGGTGTGCTGTGTGCATGTTATTTGATTGTATATAATTCCTGGATGGACAACAGTCACTTCATAACACTCTATCGCGTGGTAGTATGGCGGAAGTATATCCGCATCTGTTAGTGGTCGTACTCCCAATCATCAGTCAACGTGCATTATTATTAGATGCGTTGAAGGTCAGCAAGGTATTTGTGATCTGAAAAGAGTACAACTTGCAATTAGTAGGCATTTGTAGTCGTTCTTGAGATATTCCTTAGCTTTTTATCAGTAGCTGCGGAAAGAATAAACTCCATCTGCCGTGGTTTTAGTGCGAAAAATCACTTCGCTCGATATCAAAGATCTCATCATCTGTACTGCATGCATCAGCTTGGCGGTGGAAAAGAGCACTGGTGAAAGTTACGCAGGTATGTATTATTGTCTAGAAGAATTAGATTCTTTGAGATCTGTCGATCTACAAATTGATATCGTAACTTTCTGTGGTTTGTCGTAGTGGTTCAAAGTAATGTTTGATCTTGATCTCTAGAGACCTGAAGTATTTGGCTATGTGGTAACTTCATTATTGGCACAAAACAAGGCAATGATGTGTCACCAGGACTCTAGTGCCACATTGGAGAGTGTTCAAATTTTCTAGTATCTTCTATTCTGTATTTCAGTTGTGATAATGATTTACTTCTTCGTGGAGGAAATAAGGTCATGAGTCTCTCATTAGTAAACATCGCATTGCAATACTGAGCTGTTCCATGGTAATTAGGTGAATCCAAACTGGCAGCGTCCGCCAACGATTGTTGGCAAGAAGGTGTTGCCGGAAGTACCTCCTGTGAGCAGATTGCGTTTGAACAACATCGACTTAGCGACGAGGTTGACCTCTGAATGTTAGTCTTAAAAGTGCAGATAATTGTGTCTACGTTACATTTGTGTGCACCGCCTATGTATATTTTCTTGTGGTTAATGCATTCGTCAACATGAAGTATCAAGCATTGCACTGTAAGAGCTCTTTACAGTAGTGAAAGGGAGCGATTCAGAGTAAAAGAACTTATCAACTATATCAAGCTTAGAGACTCCCGTAGTCACTGTCACCTAAGTTGCAATCTAGGCATCATCAGCAAGAGGAGTTTGGAAGGGACATCATATCAATTTGATTGTCATTCATGAATTTCTGTACGTTTCTCTTAGTGTAACTACATAAATACAATGCATGATTACACCTTTAGAAATGCATTTAAGGGCTTCTGTCGCCAAGGATAGCTGTGTAAGAAGTATCTATGTCGTGTCATCAACATTAGACGTTGAAACAACCCCTTCTGAAAAATTCACCGGATACTACAACCAGAAACTAGGTTAACTAGTAGGTGCATGTTACTCTTGCTTGATACCTTCATGGAGAATGCTGAACATTAATACCTTGTACAATTTTTCGTGTAATTACGAGGGATACAGGATTAGAGAGAAACAGGGCTTTAAAGGCTGACAGTCTTGCTCATGTCAACACCTGGTTACGTACCTCACGTCTGGTGGAAGACTACGTAATTTGATGCGAGACTTACATTACGAACTTGGACGTTTCATATCGCGAGATGCTGGTATTTCTTTTTGCAAGATTTTAAAACTCACGGGATATTCAATTTGCGCCATGTAGTCTAATTATCGCCGTCACAACATGTGCAGGAACACAACTGCGAAGATGATTGTGGTGTTAGAGCAATTCATAACGTATGCTTCTCGAAGAGGTCATGACGAAACCCGTGGTTGGAATTTTAATGGAGATTTCCAGATTCCTTCAAAACATGGTTAATGCATTCCTAGTTCAAAATTCCTTTCGTGCATTGTCTGCCTAATCTTGTCTACTTGAGGAGTCACGTTGAATGCACATGGAGACGCTTTCAGACTTTACAGACCCTGAAAAGGCGATTGCGTCACTGCAGTCTGTACATTCCCTTGCGTATTAACATGTTTAGTTATATAATAATAATAATAATAATAATAATAATTTTTCTCAATAGCGAAGTATTTCGCTAGATTACAACTTCTCTGGAATGATCCTCTCATGTTACTGACACGTAACGTAAGTTTCCTAAAATCAAATGCTCTAGTCACCGAACTCCAACCGTTGTCATTATGATAGCACTGCACTCTGCTTCACATTAGATAATATGATTTTTTTTCTTTTTTCGTCACAGTAACAGTTTTATTGATATTGTTCGCTGATCAACTCAATTATCTCAAATAACATTCTCGCAAACTGCAGCTATAAAATCTGTCTTCTCTTTTACTGAACCCCTATGAAGAAGTCTTTCGTTACAAAGGTCGTTCTTATAGTTTTGACTTTGTGTCCAGACAGTGATGGCTTACTTTAACAGTACTTTGTCGATAATTCAGACTATTCTTTTATGTCTTCTCATACTGTTCTTTGGTTAGATTTGTTTTCTTCACAAGGTTTATCTGTTATTCACCATTATGCAATATTTTTCTTTCTGGACGAACCTCACAGAGCAGTATAATTAACTGACTCCAACAGATTATTTGGCAACTTACAGGTGAAAGAGCTTCTCCTGCGCTTCCTTTTCTGCAACTTATATGCACAACTTCAATGGTGGAGATGCTGTTTCGAAATGCAGAGGAGCTTCTCCACTATTGAACCCGTACACAGGGGATCACAGGAGATGCTGTAACACCTGCATGTTGCCAAAAACTTGTAACAGATACTTCAATGTACCGCCTTGTTCAGAGATCGTATTAGTACCTGCCAGTACTTTAAACCAACTGCAACAGTGGTTAGAAACGTGTACACATGCGTCGTTAGGAATTCTGCAAACATTCTTCAGAAACTCTGAGGTCCTTACCTTATTTTCTTTGGTCGACTGGAGAGCCGTTTCAGATGCTGTCGCATTTGAAAGGTAGAACTGGAATGATACTATTTCTTATTGTTGTAATCTAGAGGTCCACGAATTTCTGTAGCTTAACAGTTTTAATTCAAACGCTTTTCTCTGTAATTTCAATGTATTAAAACATCAGTACTGACATGTAATCATTTTTCATGGCTATTTAGGTGTTCATCTCCATTGTATGGCATTGGATCGAATCAAGTTGCGAGTGATAAACAGGCTATTAAGATGATCACCTCGTATCCATGGCACTGGGCCGAATCAAGTTGCGAGTGATGAACAGCGAGGTTTGTCGAGAGCTATTCGAGGATCCTGCAATTTAAGTTGCTTTATAAAACGGACCTAAATAAACCCATCTTCATTATCCAGTTAGCTCCCGAAAATTCCACTGACACAAATAGTTAGTGTTAATTTTGCAGTACATTCCAGCATTATGGTGACCTTAGGACTTTGCAAGTAAGGACTCCTCAGGCATGAGGACAGTGTGAGGATCTGAGAATCTGTAACGATGTGCTGCTCAACTAGTTTATCGGCAGGGGATCAGTCCTCTCGCTTGAAAAGTTCTGCAAGGGGCAAGAAGCATTTAGTTGGACAAGCGAAAACTTTTCAAAGAGCTTTAAGTGGTGGTTTATCGGCTCCTCACCATGGAATCAGGGATCTGTCCCCCCCTCCCCCCCGTACGAGGGGCTGCGGCGATCATCTTCTAGGTGACAGTACGAACATCTGTTTTCAGCTGCACGGCATGCCAGGGATTCTGCACTAGTACCACTCAATGAATCAACAAAAGAACAGTCCTAACAGCAGTTCTTCAAGACAGACGACGCGAATCATTTGGTTGCCGTCCACGAATGGTGTATGCTGTTATGTCTGGAACTCCAGTCGAATGAGTGGATTGGACGTGTATGCTCTCTCTATGGTACGTGTTCACAATCAGGGATCTACTCAAAGCTTAAGGTGTTTTTCCTGTCATTCAAAGTTAATTTTTAATGCCATGACGCGGTTACAAACCGACAGAGCCCCTGTTCTCCATGTCATGGTGGTAGCTCCTTCACACTACCTGGCTGAGCAAGTTTCAGGTGTAGCCACTTGGTAACCGTCTCCTCAGCATGTACGTGGCATGGAAATTCAATCCCTGACTGATACTAAGGTCAGCAGGTTTGAAGTGCGACGTTTGAAGCCTTTAGCCGTTACTGGCTTCTTTCATACATACCAGTACCGTATTGGACTTTGTATATACTATGTACACTCAATTGGCGGTGGTGGGGTATATTTAGGTACTCGTACCGCCACATCGTTGCCAGTAACGGCCAAGCACTTTGGGCCCCAGCATTCAGGCTATCGTCGGCGGAGAGTGTGATGGACTGTGTTGACTATTCCACCTTCCTAACATATTCTCTAAAGTAATATTTCATGTCGTGTTATAAAGCTTCACTGCCGACCTCTTGCGAGGTAAATGGATCAAATGACTAATGTGTTGTAGTACAAATGTTTGATATTACAAGGGAGTTTTCTGAGTTCGTTTAACTGCCCAATTCCTGTGCAAAGGCATGCTTCTACAGTTGTAATGCAGTTGCGCAGGTTTTCTTTTCGAGAGTGAGATTTTGTAACTCTGGATTTATTTACAGTAGTGTGACCAGTGTTCACAAGGTTGTGGCGATTCTACTACGACGGACTCGTCAACCTCCTGAGAAGCGGTAAGCCTATCTGAAGCAATGCATGCTCACACATTTCCTCAATTGTTCTATTTTCTATCTGTGTGTTATCCTGAAAAAAGTAAGTAGATTGTTTTTCTTATGTGATAATACTCTATCTAACCTTCCAATTCCTTGATTGTGGCGCAGGTGGCACACTCCACCGCTTGTGTTTGGATGAAAGTAGCCCACAGATATTCTAAGTGAATAGAGCTTCAGATCTTTGGGAGAACCTAACCCGTAACTTGATTTCCGAGACTCCAAAATCAGATAGAAGGATTCTCTATATGCACAAAATAGGAGGAAGATTTTTGTCTCTTTCACTCCATGGGAATGGGTGTGGGTTTGTCAGATCAAAAGTATACGAACCTTTTTTGACTAGTGCAAGAGTGACGAGTGCAATGGAATATTTGGTCCCAACAGACAACATGGATGCCGATATGCTATCACAATGAAGAGTGATGAGGTAAGTGCTAAACTAGTAAGTCTCACTGTGGGGGCCAACAGCTCAAGGAAAAAGGTTGAAAACAGAGACTAAGTACTAACAAAGAGATTCAAAGAAGAAGGGATGATAACCTAACTAACAGAGAAGAAAGAATAGTAAAGAGGGCAAGATCAGAGAGTCTCCCCCATGATTGAAGCAGCCTCCCTTTCATTGTTGGTATAGAGAATGGTGAGGGGTCAATTTGCATTGTGGTTGTCCTTGTGGGCATTGTTGGAGATGCTTTAGTGTGGAATTGCTTAGATGGCAAGATATTTGGAAGTTTGTTTGTTTGCATTGGTGTAGGAGGTTGTAGACCATGTCATGCAAAAAGGTGAATCAAGTAGTTTTGCGAGAGAGCAATTTGGTAGAAGTGCCAAGTTGTCTTGGGAGGATTTTGGAGGTTTGAGGTAGAAGTTGAAGAGAATTTTTAGAATAGAGGAGTCATTAGAGGGTTGGTATTACGCAATATGAGTTGAAATTTGTCTTGGAGTGTATACTAGTTAGAAAGGTTGTTTATAAATGGTCAATGGCTACAAGTGTGCAGTTTATAAGAGTTTATAAAGCTTACAAGAGGCACATGAGTTTGTAAGAAGGTACAAAGAGAGGTATGAGAGATTTGAAAAGAATTAAAGGTTTAAGCAATCCCTAGCAATTTTGAGTTTTGTTTTTTTTGCAAAGATTTTGTAAGCATATTCGTTGCATGTTGATAATTTGTGTGAATGTATACTACTTTCATATTATTTGACTTAATCCTTCATCTAATGAAATACTCGTTGATTTTGAAGTGTTTTATTTTATTGCAGAAGATAGAATTGTAAGCAATTTTTATTATGCTTTAGTTGTTATAGTTGAAAAAGTTAATGTAGGAATAATTTGTGTTAATTCTTGAAATAATCTTTGTGATCAAATAGCTTTGTAGGTATATTGAGGGAAGGTTCTATATTTGGCTTTGCATAAGAATCACAAGGTAGAAGATTGCTTCTTTAAATGCTATGAAATTGAAATCTTGGCAAGTAGAGATATGAATGTTGATATTGAGATGTGACCATCTAGGTCTTGGTTATAATTTGTGTTAGAGTAGGAGGTGAAATAATTCTCTTTTTTATTACAAAGAAAATACTCAAGTTTGGATGATAGCATAGATAATGAAGTATGCCTTGGGCTGCTTGTAAATGAACTTATTGAAGGTGATTGATGTAGTGACTATAGAGTCCAATGACAAAGACAATGTTGAAACGAGTTTTTGTTAAGTAGTAGATATATCTTACAAAGATTTGGTATAGATGAAGATTGCATAGTGGTGTGTTTGTGTCTTACGACAATTAGACTCTTTCATTCAAATATATGTATGAGAGGTGAGCTTCTTCTATGTCAAATTTTTGCAAAATGAATTTGGTGTATTTGCATTAGTGCAATAGAATGCCAAATTTTGTTTGCATGTATTGTACTCTTAAAAGTTTCTTAATTTTTTCTGATGTTGGTCATGTAAAATTTTCTTATGAATAGCTATTTCAAGATTTTAATGAGATCTATGCTATTTCTTATAAATTTGAGGTTATTTATATAGAAAAATAGAATAATAGTTCCATGATAGTTATATTTGAAGTAGAGGTTTAAATCTGTTGTGGATTTCATCATGCATTTGCTATAAAAATAGCAATTAATATGATAATACTAGACATGAAGGCTTTGTTTTAATCTATAGAGATTGAGATGTAGCTTGTAGACATTAGATTTGTAATTATCAATAACAAAGCCTTTTAGTTGAGAAAGATATATTTTTTCAAAGAAGCTACTTTTAATAAAGGCAATTTGTATGTCTATCTAATAGGTAGATCAATTGCTGTAGATGGCAATTTTTACTACTATACGGATTATTTTCCATTACATAAAAGAAAAAAAATTATCTTGATAATCAATTCTATATTTTTATTAGAAACCTTAGAGAATCAATTCAACTTATATCATATAAAAGAAGTAGCAAGGCTTAGTTTGAGTTTGAAGATCTATTTAGTTATAATGAATTATTTGATGGTGTCATATTTTATGAAGTTTTCTTGAGAATGCATTAGGCACTTGGCTATAGAAGGTAAAATTAAACTTACAATAAGAAGATCTTAACAATTCTAATAGAATCTTAAGTAAATTCTAATTAAATTATAATAATGCTAATCAATCTTTAATTAAATTCTAAAAGAAGTCTCAAAGAATTTACAAAAAAAAACATAAATAAATCATAAATTAACCTTAAAAGAATATATATAATAAAATACTAAAAATAAAATACTAATTGAATCCTAATCAAATTTTAACATAATCCTCAAAAAATCCTAAATAAATTTTAACCAAATCTTAATGAAATCCTAAAAAAATCTTAATAAAACCTTAACAAATCCTAATAAAATCCTAAATCCTAATCCTAGACCAAGTTCTAATGAAATCTTAATAAAATTTTAATCAAATCCTAATCAAATCTTAAATCCTAATCTTAGATCAAATTTTAATAAAATCTTAAATCAATCCTAACAAAATTTTAAACCTTAATTAAATCCTAATAAAATTATAATAGAATCTTAAATCAATTCTAATTAAATTCTAATTAAAATATAAATCCTAATTAAATCTTAATTAAATACTAATAAAATCCTAAATTCTAATGAAATTCTAATTAAATCTTAAATCCTAATCAAATTCTAAATAAATCCTAAATAATCTCAAAAAAATCCTAGATAAATCTTAATCAATTATTATAGTTGTTTTGAAACCTCAATAAATATTAATTAAACCATTGTCGTATTATGTATGTTCTTGCTTGAAAATTCATTAAATACTTAGGTGTAGAAGGTAAGTAGAAATGCAACAATAATCCTACAAAGTCTAATAGAATCTTAAACAAACTTCAAATAAATCTTAATAATCCTAATCAAACTTTGATCAATCAAAAATAAATTTAAAGAAATTACAAAAGAAATAAAAAAGTCCTAAACTAATTTCAAAAGAAAAATAACAAAAAATCTTTCAAAAATATAAAAATAAATATTTAAAGAAATAATAATAATCTTAAGGAAATACTAAAAATTGTTTGCACTTATCAATTGAGAAAAATGCATGATAATCCTATTGGATATTAGATGGCTTCTTATTCCAACTTAGATGTTGAACTTTGAACACCAATACTTCCTTCTTGAACCATTGAATTACTTTCAAATTACATTTAAATGTTAGAAATTAAATTTAATATCCAAAAAAAAAAAAAAAAAATCACTTCAATTCAATTGACACATTGTTAAAGATCTTAAAAACAATTATTAACCTTCAAATTCTAATTTCTAAGATCTCAATCCACAAAAATCTTTACACATTTTGATCTAATCATTTGATTGAGCTCAAAATTTGTATACATATTTACAACTAGTACACCAATGCAATATCCAAAATTCATTAATACATATACTACAAAACTCAAGAAACTTTTAAATTTATAAACATATTTTTATTTTTTAAAATCTAAATCAACCGAGAGCATCACTAACTTTAAAAATCCTTCAAAAAATCAATATTGATTCTATTGACATAAAATCAATGCTTAAAAATCTTTTTTCCAGTTTGTTCTTGAATCTTATTCTTCAATCTACCAAAGAATCCCAAAGCTGTTGTATAAACATGGTTTTATGCCTTAAGCTTTGATTTTGATCCAAGTTCACAAGTAGTTCTCTTTGAGTATTAATTTTTGATAATTTGGGATAAATTTTGCTTTATCCTATTATTAATTCTTTTCTAAAAATGTCTATATTAATTTCTTATCTTTTTTGATTTGATTTGGCTCATTTATCAAAGTAAATAGAAGTTCCTTCTATAATTTTTTAAAAAGAATCAAACTCACTAATTAAAAGAAAATCTCTCAAAACCTCTTAGATGTTGATTGCCATCATTTTCTAACTTAAATTTTAATCTTTTAATAAAGTTTTTTTGAACTATTTAATTATTCCAACAATTGGCTAGTGAGTAGGTATTAAAGTTTAAATTTCTTTCACCAATTTTTGCTTCAATCAAACTAGCAGATATTGCAAGATTGTAAAAACCCTCACTAATCCTAAATTTTAATTATTTAATACTATAATCTAAAAAAAATCTCATAAACTTCAATCTAACCACTTAATTGACATAAAAAAATTTACACATATTTACAACAAGTACAATGACAAATTGATTAATTTTTACTTCTAAATATGTAATGATATTTATAAAATTATCAAATTTTTGTTTTTTTTTTTTAATTTCATAAAATCTAAATCTATTGAATACACCTCTCACTTTAAAAAGCTCTCAAAATCTCTATATATCTTTAAAATGACATAAAATCAACTTTCAAAAATCCTTTCATAAGTCTTCTCTGAAATTCCACTCTTTGATTGATTAAAGAATCTTGGAGTCATTGCAAGTACTTGGTTTTGTGCCTTAGGATTTGATTTCGACCTTGGTTTACAACCAGTCCTCTTTGGGTATCAATTCTTGATATTTTAAGATATTTTTTTAAAACCTATTTTTAATTCTTTTTTAAAGATATCTATATTAATTATGTATTTCATTTATTTTGATCTGATTTATTTATGCCCCAATAAAGTGAGTATAAGTTTCTTCTATAAGAAGGTAATATTAGTACTTATTAACTTTTATTACTTTTTTTTATCTATTATTTATATTTTTAAAATAATTTTTAAAAATATTTTCATTTAATCTCCTCTATAATAAAATGTTTCCTTTATTCTTTCACCTATAGTCATGTTACTATACAACAATAGGAGGATATATTCACTAAATTTTATGTATTATTTTTTTAAACAAAATCATATTCATTATGCATAGCTTGAGGCCAATATACAGATTTGATAACTTAAAAAAGGATTAAATTTGTGCCACCTTCTATGAGCCCCACAAAAATTATAAGTAATTCTATAAAGGCATTTGAGTAGGAAAGATGCTTCTTAAAGCATTGGCATTAGCAAAGAAAGATGAGAGGTGATGAAGGTGATGAGGAAGAAGAGGATGTGAAGCTAGTCATAATTTTAGAGCAAGAGGTAAGTTTTATAGTGAAGGGAAGATGATTGAAATGAATGAGCTATAGTATATGTATAGATGAAGCTGCGACTAAATAATATGATTGATATTACTTTAGGTGTTGGTTTTGAGTGATTTTTATCAATTGTGTAGTTTTACAAAAAAAACCAAAAATATAAAGTTTAGAGATGTTTGATTTTTTACCAAAAAATAGTATATTTAGAATTTTATAAGGTATTTCTTTTGTAAAATAAAGCTTAAGAATAATAAATTTCATCTATATTGCATTATTTCATAATGCACTTAAATTTTTTTTGCCAAATAGAAATCATCTAACAATATCTTGCAAGAAATATATATATATATATATATATATATATATATATTAATGATGTCATTTTGATGTGGTTTGTAAGCTTTAAATTTGCATTGAATGCTTGCTTGTGAAATAAAGTCATTGAATGTATGACATATCTATATATATATATATATATATATATATATCTATTTTTAATTCT